GGCACCAGTAAGACCACATCTGGTGTACTCTGCACAGTATTGGTCACCTTATTTCAGAGCAGGATGTGAATATATTGGAAGCAGTTCAGAGAAAGTTTACCAGACCAATACCTAAAATGCGTGGTATGTCTTTTGAATAAAAGTTGGACAGGCTCAACTTGTATGCAATGGAATTTGGAAGTGTAAAAGATGATTTGATTGAAATATATAAAATCCTGAGGAATCTTTACAGGGTAGATGTAAGGATCATATTTTTCTTATGGGAGAATTTAGAATAAGCATTCCCTGTTTAAAATCAAAGGTTGCCCATCGATAGAGATGAGATGAGTGTTTTTTCTCACAGAGTGTTGTAAATCTTTAGAAATCTCTCGATGAAAAGGTGGTGGAAGCAGAATCCTTGAATGTTTTTAAGGCAGGAAAAAAGATAAATCCTTGTTGAGCAAAGGTGTAAAAAGCAGAAGTGCAGATTTGAGGAAGGGCAGCACGGTGGCTCAGTGGTTAGCATTACTGTCTTACAGTGCCAGGGATTTGATTCTAGCCTCTGGCGACTGTCTGTGTGGAGTTTGAACATTCTCCCTGTGTCTGCATGGGTTTCCTCCGGATGTTCCGGTTTCCTCCCATAGTTCAAAAATATACAGATTAGGTAGATTGGCCATGTAAATTGCCAACAGTGTCCAGGGATGTGTAGGCTCAGTGGATTAGCCATACAGAAAGGCAGATTTATGAGGATAGGGTAGAGGGTAGGTTGTGTGGGATGCTCTTTGGAGAGTCAATGTGGACTTGATGGGCCAAATAGCCTGCTTCTAGAGTCTTATGATTGGTGAAGCATGCTTGAGGAGCTGAATAGCCTACTCCTGTTCCTCATTCATTTGTTTGTATTTAACATTTGTTCATTGTAAAGTGGCTGGATGATGGGGAGGAAACTATTTTGAGTTGATGCTATCAAAAACAAAAGTTGCTGGAAAAGCTCAGCAGGTCTGGCAGCATCTGTGAAGAAAAAATCAGAGTTAATGTTTCGGATCTGGTGATAATTTTAGGGCCTAAACACTCTCATATCTTAGCCCCCTACCCGACACACCAGGCCTTGTTATCACGTAGCCTGCCATTACACACCCCCTGTTGTTAGTCACTAACAGTCCCCATTAACAGCTATTCACCCTCCCAGCCAGATCATTATCAACTCCTTTGTCTATCCAACTGCTCTTCTCTCTTTTTGGGCTCTCTTATTGTTCACCCCGTCCCCCTTCCTATTTTCTGCATTTAAGCTGATGTTTTCCCAACTACCATCAGTTCTGAGGAAGGGTCACTGGACCTGAAAGGTTAACTCTGATTTTTTTTCTTCACAGATGCTGCCAGACCTGCTGAGCTTTTCCAGCAACTTTTGTTTTTGTTCCTGATGTACAGCATCTGCAGTTCTTTCAGTTTTTATTGAGTTGATGCTATTTCAATTTGTACCTTAATTCATGTATATGTTCCAATCTTTATTTCACTTCCCATAAAATTATAGGAAGTGCACGATAAACCTGTCTGTTACTCCCTAGTTTGATGTCTGTAAGAATTCTTAACCCTGATGCTTAACCAGCTCAATACATCATTGCAGCTGAATGCCGAAGATCCCTTGTTCGTGCCAGAATGGAACTGGTATTGGGAAAAGTGAAATTCACATCACAAAGCTTGCTGGATCTTTGTTGCCAGGTTTCTTGAGGTCAACAGTGAAGGCTGTCTGTTTGTCACTGACCTCAAAAGCTGGGACATTAGTCGTTTATCTCAGTGCTCTGTGTTGGGATCTAATTTCTCTGTGCAAATTAGCTACTGCAGTTTTCTGTTATTCTGTCGTCATGTAAGAATGACTGTCTTCCTTGTTACGAGTCAATAATTGCTTCCAAGGAAAAGGATGACTGTAAGCCTGAGGAAGTCAAGTCTGGAAAATTTCAGAGAGTCAGTATTTGAACTGCGCAGCAGACTACAGGTGAAAAGCAGGGAAGAAAATTCAATGGAAGAGACTTTCCCAGGCTTCATTATAAAAGCGAAAACAACACTGAGGAGAGTTGAAAAGGAACAGATTTACCAGATGCAGTTGAGAGTTCAGTATTCCCCCTGACCACATATCCCACTCCCGCAAACAGGATGAAAGTGACAGTGTTACAGTCTGCTGTTAGCAACAGCAATATACATTTATACTGCAGCTTAAAAGCTGTGCATTAGCTAGATGAGTAGGTTTTTCATTACTTAGCCTGTTAACCAGACAAAGCTGCCTCCAGGCAACCCCCAGAGCTCCAAATCAGGGACATATCCAATGGTGCTCCTTTGAGTCATCTCGTAGTTATATTGAAAAAATCGAGGAGACAACCTGCAGGCTCATTGAGATGTTACTTTTCTTTGTGACCAATTTTGATCAGACTCCTTTCACAGATTTTATTTTTAACATGAAATACTGTTTGGCTGTTATTTTAAATTAGATTTAATTCAGCAACACCCCTCCCCCACTTTGATTTCTATGGGCGTGTCTTATTCAATTAGAGGGATTCTTTCAGGTGTTGCTTGTTGTATCTTTCCAGCATTCATGGTTATCAATGTATTTTATAGTATAATATCAATATCTTGTTACATGTAAGAACACAGTGATAATTTCGATTTCTTTTGCAAAAAATATACGAATTAACTTTCTCAGAGATAGTAAGAACTGCCGATGCTGGAGTCAGAGATAACACAGTGTGGAGCTGGAGGAACACAGCAGGCCAGGCAGCATCAGAGGAGCAGGAAAGCTGATGTTTCGGGTCGGCACCCTTCTTCAGAAAAGGGGGATGGGGAAGGGAGGTATCGACCTATCTCCCTCTCATCCCCGCCTCCTTTCCTGTCTGTCTTCTCTCCCACCTATCCGCTCCTCCCACCTCACTGACCAATCCTCACCACTCCCTAGCTGCACTCAACTATCACCATCCTACCTACCTTCCCCAGCCCCACCCCTCCTCTCTCTATTTATTTCTGAGCTCCCTTCTCCCTCCCCCGTTTTAGAAGGAGGGTCCTGCCCTGAAAAATCAACTTTCCTGCCCCTCTGATGCTGCCTGGCCTGCTGTGTTCCTCCAGCTCCACACGGTATTATCTCTGACTCCAGCATCGGCAGTTCTTACTATCTCTGAATTCAAAGTATATCCCATTCTCCAAAACAGGCAGCACAACAGGACGTGAAGATTAAGCTGCTGTCAAAACCAATTCAGACCAGCACTGAACAGAGGTTCTGAAACATTGCTTTCCAGAGGAGACCGACTTGGACGTGACCAATCAATGGCATCCCATTGTAGGACGTCAGCTGGTCTGGACTAATTGTGTGTCTCCTATGGAAAGAAGCACTGATCTGCCCCTAGGGTTTGGACCACAGCCTGTACAGCAACTAATTCTGGAATATAGCAGCTAGACAGCCACAGATTTGGAGGCTACAAACAAAAACCATAACCTCATCCCATGTTTCATCCACATGATCTATCTGCACAACCTCTGGGAACCCTGATCAATGCAAGAAAGATGTCTGCTGCACTGGAGGAGATACTTGCGCTTGCTAAACATCAATTTATCATCATGACTATTTATAGGAAAAGGGGAGCAGACCAACCCATGTACATTTACAACACTGTGATTTTACATTAGGTGGCAAACTTTAGTAACATTCAGTTATATTTGAATCTCAAAAATCTACATGCAAGCCAGAATTGACTGCAAATGCCAAAATATCTGATACATTTTAAAAATTGCAAAAATGGTAATAATCCTCTCAGCATTACTTGACTAAGGGAGACATCTTGCCATGAAACACATCAATTACTGGTATTCACAGTATTCTATGCTCTCTAGATGGCAAGAACAGGGAAGTTATGATGAACTTATATTAGTTACACTTCAGGTGGTGTGCTGTGAATATTTCTGGATGCCACACCACAGCATGTGAATGTACTGGACAGAGAGTAAAAGAGTTTCATGGGAATTCTTCCAGGGATGAGACAATTCTGTAATGAAGAAATATTGGAGAAGTTAGGACTGTTTTCCTTGGAGGAAGATGATATAAGATTTGGTAGGAGTTTTTAATATTGAGTTTTCAATACCTGGACAGAGTAGAATGGGAGAAACTGTCGACTTTCATAAAAGGATTGAGAGAGGGCACGGTTTTAAAGGGATTTGCAAATGCAAGGTAAAGGAAAACCTTTTTCACATCACAAATCGTTAGAGAATGCAATGCACGACCTGGAAGTGTGGTGGAGACAGGTTCTGTTGAAGCATTCAGGAGGACATTGTTTCTAATTAAATAATCTTTCAATGTGTAGGGTTACAGGTAAAGCTCGGCTAATGGCACTAAGGCAAAATGTTCAGACATTTTGTTCAGGTAAAGACACAACAGGCCTAATGGTCTCCTTCTGCATGATAACACTTCTGTGATTTGCAGTTGTAGCTGCCACAACAACAACAGCCCTGCCACACATTGCAGTGAAACTGGTAGCACAAGAGCAGCAGGGAGTTGATCAGGTCAGACAGAAGGAGCAAAGGAGCAGAGCATAACAAAAACAGCAAGACTAAGGAAAGTGAGGTGCAGTTTTTGGATGGTGTGGTTAGTATATTTTTATTGTAGGTGGCATAAGTTCTTCATAGGGATGCTTCTACATCAGGGTTTTAATTTTTATTGATAGTGGCCCATTTAATGAAATCTGCATGATCAAAAGGTTCAGAAACGTATAACTTAAAAAAAAATCTGCTGCAGAGGCAAGTATTGTTGCTCTTTCTCTCCCAAAAACTATTTTTTTTTTTGTAAACAGCATATTCTGTCCTCTTTTCAAAAACTTTTCTTAAGATGAAAGCACTTGGATTTGTTTATTATGTCCTGAAACTCATCTTTCTCTTATTTATAGAACAAAATATTGCGTAGAATGTACAGATTTGCATGAATTTGTAAAATCTCCCATTTTGTTTTATTTTTCCCTTTAAGTGTTAGCTTTATATGGTTTAAATTTCAGACTTTGCACATTACTCAGGGAAGGACATTTCAACTCGATCAGGAAAATTGCATGCACACTGGACACAAAAGAGATCACAAGACCAGCTAGAATCTTTGAGGCATAACAGCACTGTATTTTGTGGTAAGAACAGTGGGATAATTTTGAATTTGTGTGTTAATGTTGAATAGGTGATAGCTGTTGTATAAGTTAATGGTTTGTTAATGTTGAAGTTGATAATGTCACACGGTCTCGATACGGAGACAAGTTTTCATAGGGGGCAGACCCATTCTGCACAGAACCCAAGAGTCTTTAGTAATTTTGCCTGGCTAGTGACATCAGTTGCACTTACTGCTATCATTAAATAAACCAATTTGATCAGTAAGATAAGTGCCTCTTCTATTTAGACTCACCAGTGGTTTATCCTTTCCCACTATTAATTAGGATGGCCCTAGATGTAATATAGATAAAGGTGTATTGGTGACAATGAGCTACCTCAAAAAAACTTCTCCTGTGCCACAAATTAGCAGAGGCAGCAGATTCCATAGAGTTCCAGCAGTGACAGTTAGGGTAAATATGACATGCTGAATCTACAAATCTGCAGGAAAATAAATGTGGACATAATGTAAAGAACCAATGTAGGCTGCAATTTCATCCTTTCTCATGTGACATTGTCAGGAAAAGTCCAAATATTCAACTATGAGTGATACCTCAGTTTATTTTGTATTTAAAGTGTTGTACAATTTAATACTCCTGAAAGGGTTAATTTTGAAGACTACATTAACCTCCATTTAACTGGATGATGTCATAAGGAGTTGGGAAAGGCAGAACATCACAGAATCTCGAAAGAGGACAGACAGACCTTTGGGACTATTGGGTCTCTCAATAGTAATAATGTCTCTCTTCCTAATGTAAATTGTATATGATTGCTATCATTACAATAGATCACATCTTGTTTAGGACAAGAGCCTCTTCCTTGCCACATTAGACCAAGAAGACCCTGTGGATCCAGTCAGAACAAGTAACAGCAATCAATGCAACCACATGTTGGGAGTGGTTGGCTTTGCATGCTCATGTAACTTGGTACCAGCTGTGATCATCTGCAGATTCAATCCAACTACACCATTATGGCATAAACTGCATAATGTTATCACTATTTTCAGTGAACATATCGCTCAAACAACACGGAAAATAATTTGTGACATTGCCTAGGTCATGATACTCTAATATGCACTCTTCATTCCATTATATCGTCAGAATGAAGGCAAATGACTTGTTATGAAAAAAATAGCCACAAAAGATTCTAAGAGACACTACATTTTTATAAATATTGTATCGAGTGATATTTTCAGAGGAAACTATAAGCGTGGAAACAGGCCCTTCGGCCCAACAAGTTCACGCTGACCCTGAGAGCATCCCACCCAGACCCATCTCCGTGTAACCCACCTAATCTACACATCCCTGAACACTACGGGCAACTTAACATAGCCAATCCATATACCCTGCACATCTTTGGACTGTGGGAGGAAACTGGAGCACCCGGAGGAAGCTCATGCAGACAGTCGCCCAAGGGTGGAATTGAACCCGGTTCCTTGGCGCTGTGAGGCAGCAGTGCTAACCACTGAGCCGCTGTGCCCCCCTTTTGCACGAAAACTCCCAGATGCAGCAAAAATGCTATTCTTTGATTAGATCTTAGTGACACCAAATCGTTTCCTGCAGCAAGTTACTCCCCTTAATAAAGATGCACATTAAATGCTAATCATTGCAACTCATGATATCATGCATTACCTGACACATTTTATTTGGCTTAGTCCATGCTTGAATTTTAAGAAAAAAATCACTGACACAAAAGGTAGATGCTCTCTAGAGCCCACTGCTGAGCATCCAACAGGCATGGGCAGGTTGATAAAGTTCTGGAAATTAATGTTGTTTGGAATTTTGATACGATCCTAACTTCTTCTAACATTTCCCCCAGTCAGTATTGAAAGTGAGTCATTGAAATCTACAGCACAGGCCCATCCAGTCTGCACCAGTCAAAAACAACTACCCAACTATTTGAATCCATTTTTCAACACTTGGCCCATAGCACTGTATGAATCTAAATACTTATTAAATGTTATGAGGCTTTCTACCTCTCCCATCCTTAATGCAGTGAGTTCGAGATTCTACACCATATGGGTGAGAAACGTTTTCCTCAGATCCCCTCTAATCCTCCTGTCTTTTCCCTTAAATCTATGCCCACTGGTCTTTAATTCCTCCAAGAAGAGGAAAGTTCCTTCCTGCCTATGCTCCTAATAATTTATGTATCTCAATCAGGTCCTCCCTCAGTCTCCTCTGCTCCACAGAAAACAACCCAATCCAATCTCTCTTCATAACCAAAACTCTCCAGCCCAGGCAACACCCTGGTGAATCTCCTCTGCACCTTCTCCAGTGTAATCACATCCCTCCTATAATGTGAATTCCAGATCTGCATGCAATACTCGAATTGTGGCCAAATGGAAATTTTATACAGTTCCAGTATAACCTCCCCACTTTTAAACTCTATACCTTGGCTACTAAAGGCAAGTATCCCATATGCCTTTTTAACCACTTTAATCTCCCTTTAATCTATCAGGTCAGTAGCTAAGTGGTTCTTGAGATTGTTAAGAAGTCAGGGGTATATCTGCAGCTTTGGGACAGTCACTCAACTACTTTTGGAGAGCAGCAGTAACAAGGCCATGACAGCCTGACAGGAGTGAGGTAAGGAAATTACTATTAAACTCCTTCTATATGGCTCCATTTCCAACTCATCCTTTCAGTTGCCTACTTCACACCATAAATCACTTGACCAAAGGGATCTTGGTGCAAGCTCTTCACCAGGTTTCTTCAGGTGGCTTTCTGCAGTTAATGTGTTGCAACACACCTTTATACCTGGCATTAGGCACACAGCCCCTATCTTCAGAGAGACCAAGGATATCTATAACGCAGGAGGTAGGGGATGAAGCGAACTGTGACAAAGACATGTGTGGCGACCTGACCGTGCAACTCTACACCCTTTTCCTTTTCAAACTTTCACAGCAATTAAGAATCTTCCAGGTATAGTGAAGAGCTTTGGACATTCTCCTGCCAGTGTAGGAAATACTTACCTTTACCAAAGATACATTGTAATCGGAATTCATCTGTAAATGACAGGTTTTTAAAAGCTGTTTCCAGTGTAGTACAGAGAATTCTGTATATGAGAGATTGAACAGTGAATTGGTTAATCCAGCTGTAAAAGACTTGCAGAGAAATATAGCGTAAGATGACTGTGTGTTAAATTAGCAAATTGCAAGTAATTACATAAGATGATACTGTAGAGACTATCTTAATTCATCCATCCACAGAAACCCTAAGGTTGACCCATTTCAGCAACTAATAATTTCTTAGTTGATTGCTGGGTTGATGTTTCCACTATTTTCCACAGAAGTCTCTTTCATATGTTGCTCACTCTTTGTAGAAAGATAAAGTTCCCGACATTAGTCCTCTTGCTAGCTTCAACTTGTATTCTTTTGACCTGCTCTTACAATTTAAAATAGCATTCTGGATTAACCTTTTGCATTCCCTAGATATACAATGAACAGGACCTGTATGAAATCAAATCTTAAATCACTTGCCCTCCTTCCAAATGACATATATGAGCCCCAAAGTTTCACTAAGATTTTCAGGCACTAAATGGCCTCTATTAGACTGCACCTTGTGGACATACTTGTGTAATTAATAAGACTTAAGTTATCAAATTGTACTGTATTTAAGATTAGTGATGGAAAGCTTTTGTCTGTATTATTAGGATACCATTAACAAGTCTTTAAGTTGGCATTTCTTAAGGTGACAAATACTGTTTTAAGAAAAAACACAGAAATTAACTAGGGTTGTATTTGGGATGCATTTTGGATTTAGGTTGCAGTGTGCCTATTATTAGTAACAAATCGAAGCCAAAACTGCTTCTAGAAGAATGGTTGAGAGCTAGAACTGCCAATAAAAGTTTTAAGTTAAGGTTAGATTGTTGTAGGAAAACCATGCACACTCTTACCATTGCTCAATTTAAAATATTTGTTTAAAATTATTAATTGTGTTGACTCAGATGTTCAAACGTGAGCCGAATATTTGAAAAGCTGTCTGTAAGAAGTGTGCAACAATAGGACACTTGCCTGATGTCTAGCCGGGGTAGCGTTTGACAAGAGGACACTTGCTAAGAGAGGGAAACGTAGGAGTTAGTAGTACACCACTTGCCAAAACATTAGCACTTATATGGGACATCACCAGTCAATAGCTGATTGTCATAGTTTTGGGGTTTGCCATAAGAAATCCAATATTAGAATTAGAATCCAGCTTTGAACTTGATTATTTTAAGAGAAAGTCTTTGTTATGAAGCACTTTCAGTAGTGTGCACTCAGCAAGTAGTTATGAAATTTGCAGGCACAGTAGTTAAGGTAGATTTGTGAATCAAAGTTGAAGTCTACAAAGCATTTGTATGTTTGCCAGAGTTGACTAAATAGAACCTTGAAAAACATCTTGTGTCAAGAAATTGACTTCATGGAACCAAGGAGAGGAGAACACATATATAATGGGATCCATGTAAAGACAGGCTGACCCATGGTGAGTTTGTGTACCATGCCATGCCTTGACTAGTGAAATATTAATTATTACTTTTTATTGACCAATAAATCATGTTTGTTGTTCTTTTGGTTCTTTTAACCAATAAGGTTATTCCTGACAAGAATTCTGGGATTCAGAAGAGGGTCCAAATTCCAGCACCTTAAAATGACCCCAGAATGGAGTGAGGGCAAGAGGTGCACCACCTAACAATATTGGGTAAGCTCAATTATGAAGCATTCATTAACCAGCCCAGAAGCAGGAGTTAGACCCTTGGCACATTCAAATAAAGGACCTAACATGTGCTTGAGTTCTGGGCTGGACTCCACAATATGACCCCTGCCCTATTCAGGTTGGGCTGAAAAGTGGTGAGTAACATTCGCGCTACACAATTACCAGGCAGTTACCATCTTCAAAAGAGTAAATCTGCGTATCGTCCCTTGATACTCAATGGCATTACCATTACTGATTCCTCCAATATCAACATCCTGGGGATCACCATTGACTAGAAACTGAACTGATGAACCATACAAATAGTCAGCAAGTAACTCACCCCCTGACTCTTCCAGAGTCTGTCTGCTAACTACAAGGCACGAGTTAGGCGTGTGATGAAATTTGAATGATTTATGAAGAAGGGTCACTGGATTCAAAACTTTAACTGTTTTCTCTGCACAGATGTTGCCAGACTTGCTGAGTTTCTCCAGCAATTTCTGTTTTTGTTTGTTTGTAGTGCCTTGATCCACATTCTTTCTTTCTCCCCTTTACATGTTATTGATTCTATCTAGCTCCCTTGTCTTACCAGGATGACACCACCCTGACTGCCTTGATCTCGTTACCACTGAGTCCTGCTACCCTTCGTTATCTGAATCCTGCAGTCAAACTTCCAGAGTCATGTGATTCCTCCCTTCAGTCCTGCAGTCCTTCTGTCTGTTTCACGAACCCTTCTCAAATCCTGCAATCATTTCACCCTGAGCCTTGGAATTCTTCCCACCAAAGTCCCATGAACCCTCACCAAGATTCCATGAATGCTTCCCATCCTGGTTATGCAATCCTTCCCCAACAATACCCAACCCCAACCTCATCCATGTCTTATGTTCATTCCATGAACATTATGATTCCTTCCCCAAAAGTCCCACTATTATCCCCCCAACCATCTCCACCCCCGCCCCAACTAACATGTGCTACAATTTCCAAATCTGACAATCCTGCCCTAGATTACACAATTGGCTACTTCCCAATGTCCAACAATTTCCTCAATTTCCCTTTTCAAGCTTGTGATCCCTCCCAACCAATACTGTAATCACCCTTTGTGTCCTGAGATCTCTTCCCAACAGACATTCCCAACAGCCTGCTGCCTCTGACTCTCACGATATTCCTCAAAGCCATCTCTTATACCGTGGTAGCACATTTCAATGCTCACAGCTGCTTGATCATCATGCATTTCTTTTCATGTGGCTTCTCACGCAGTCATCTTCAGGACGTATTGATGTTGGAAATCCAACGTCTGAGCTCCTAAAACCTCCACATTTGTATCCTGGGCCAACATACAAACAAAAAGTAACAGTAGGCAACTTGAAACTCTGAGCCTGCTCTGCTGTTTGATAGATCATGGCTGATTTTAACTTCAACTCTATGTTCCTACATATTCCCAGCAATCTTTCAGCCCTTTGGTAATCAAGAATCTATCTGCCTCTGCTTTAAAAATATTTAAAGATTCTTCTTCCACCGCTTTTTGTGCAAGAGAATTATTTTTAAAATATGACCCCTGGTTCTAGGTCCTCCCATAAGAGGAAACATCCTTTTGACATCTACTCGGTCATGTCCCCTCAGAATCTTGTATGTTTCAATTAAGTGACTTCTGACTCTTCTAAACTCCAGAGGGTATAGGCTCAGTCTGTTTAGCCTTTTCTCATTAGGCAATCCACTCATTCCACAGATAGTGAATTTCTATATCTAAGCTATAAATTTTGGTTATAGCTCAGGCACTTGATTTTCAGGGATCAGTCTCACTGTTCTTCTTGTTATTGTTTCCAGTGCTTAAATATCACCTTTTCTTAATGAACAGAACTGGACACAGTCATGAAGGTGATAACACCATCTGGGAATATATTGAATTATTAACCAAGATTGTCACTATTACGTGAAACAATTGTGTGCCATGAAGGTAGAAAACAATAAATTCTTACTCTACTGATGAAGTGCCTCAATTGTAAGTTGAATTTCTAATCAAAGCACAGGAGCTATGTACTACTGGAAGGCCTATTAAAAAAAGAGGTTATCACAATAATGCCATCAGGACACAAATAAATCATAATCTTTGCAGATTGACTTTCCTGTCACAGCTCCCAGTTTTTACATTAAAACAGATTTTACTGCAACCAATTCAAAATCTTTTCTGCAGCAAAATATTTTTGAAATATAGCTACATGGAGACAGTGCAACTGCAGTTAAGCTGTGGATCAATCCAAAAGTCTTCCAAATTCAAATCCTTAAAGACAAACAATCATAGAATTCATCACAAAGGTTTGAAGATGAGTTATTGCCTTGTCTCCAATCCTAGAACTGCTGCTATGCCATCATAGTATTTGGCATCTACAACCACTTCAGCGCAAACATACAACATGGTTTCATACATCTTGCTCAGTTTTATCAAAACAAGTGCCAGAAGAACTAATTAGTAGTCCTCAAAGCAATAAATGTTACAATAGCTTCACTTATTTCAACTTCGACTTTCTAGCCCAGAGGTAAAAGCACTACCACTCTGTCGCAAGATCTCTTGGGACGTGTGGGACATGAGGGACATGAGTGAAACAGTTTTTTTTAACCATCAACCCATGGTTATAAGGTCACTGTTAGGCCAAGTTTTCATTCCAAATTTTTATTGAATTCAAATTTCACCATCTGCCATGTTGGGATTCAAATCCGTGTCCCCAGAACATTAGTCTTGGGTTCTGGATTATTAGTCTCGTGACATTCCTGCTAAACCACCAACTCCTCTGAAGCAAAAAATGTCACAATGCAGCAAGACCTGGTCAATATCCAGGTTGGGCTGACAAGTGGTGAGTAACTTTCGCGCTACACAATTGCCAGGCAATGACCATCTCCAAAAGAGAAAATCTGAGTATCGTCCCTTGATATTCAATGGCATTACCGTTACTGAATCCTCCAATATCAACATCCTGACTAGAAACTGAGCTGATGAACCATCCAAATACTGTGGTTCTAAGAGCAGGTCAGAGTTTAAGAATCCTGCAGCAAGTAACTCACCTGCTGACTCTCCAGAGTCTGTCTGCCAACTACAAGGCACAAGTTAGGAGTGTGATGGAATTTGAATGACTTATGAAGAAGGGTCACCGGATTCGAAACTTTAACTCTGTTTTCTCTCCACAGATGCTGCCAGATTTGCTGAATTTCTGTAGAAATTGTGTTTGTTTAAGAGAAGACAGTAATATTTGGAAATGAACATACTCATCATACAGCATACAAAACAAACTGGACCAGGATACATTATTTGCAGGTTTTACTGGCTTTTGCTTCTGACAACAAGCTCAAGTAATCTGAGATATGTATTATTACCAAAAAGTAGCAAAAATGTGACAGATTACCAAATGAAAGGTACAATTTATGGAGATTAGTTTATAAAATGTAATTTTATTGACTATAATATGTCTAGATCTAAACTTTTGTAGAATGATATTAAAGATTTAAGTAAATATAGCTTGAATCAAGATAATAATTTTTGCAATTTACCAGAAGATATTGGAAAATAGCATCTGTGTCCTAATAGAGTTACAAAAGAAAGGGAAAAGACAGATGAGAAAACGTTACCATGTAGAGCTGACAAAGTACAATTTTGGTGTAAAACCATTAATAGAGTCATACAGTCATACAGCATAAGAACAGGCCCATAGGCCCACCATGTCTATGCTGACCACAACCATCAAACTATAAAAATCCAATTTGCCTGCACTTAGTCCATAGCTTACTATTCTCTGACATTTTAAGTGTTCATCTGGATGCGTCTTAAATGTTGGGAGTTATCTGTCTCCATCACCCTGTGAGGCAGCACATTCCATATTTCTACTACCCTCTGGGTAATAAAAAACATTTTCCTCCGGTCCCCTTCAAACTACTGACTCCTCACCTGAAACATCTGCCCTCTGGTCTTTAACATGGCTGCCATGGGGAAAGGATTCTCATGATTTCCTCTATCCGTGCCTCTCATAACTCAACCAGTTTCCCCTTACTGTCCCCCCACCCCCGGACCTCCCAGTCTCCTCTGCTCCAGCGAAAACAAACCCAGCCTATCCAGTCCCTCCTCATAACAGAGTTTCAATCCCAGGCAACATCCTGGTGAACCTAATGGAAGACTATTGAATTAAAATGAACAGGGTAACATATAAAGCACAAATAATGTGGAACAAGATGGAACATGGGACATAAATCTAAAACTTGCAGCCTGCTGATTTGAAATAAAACTTAGAAATGCACACGGAGAATGAGGAAGCCGCAATTTGACTGAGGTGACGTGAGAAACTGCATTCTGTGCCTCGAAGGGAAGACATTTTCCTCTGACGAAAAGCCCAATAAACTGCATTCAAAATAAGGCTCAACAAAATCAGAATGTTACAGAGCATTATACTAACAAGAGTGGAACTGGTTGGATCAAAGTAGAAACAATAACAAAAACATAAAGAGCAAGCAACACGTTTTAGAAATTTATCTAGCTGAAAAGCCAAAAAAATTTGTAAACTTAGAGAAGGCAAAAAGATAATCGTACGCAGCCTGAGGCCTGTAATTGAAAGTATGATAGAGGAGATCATTATGCTTGAAAAGGTTACAGAAAACACTTGAAAAAGACTGCTCTTATCAAAATTTGAAGCAGTGAAACACTGATTCGTCAAAAGCAACACCTAGATGGGCAGTGAGATGGTTTAATAAAAGGTGCTGCAGACCACCAATGAAGTTTGGATAACTAATTATATTCAGAATTATGTCTGAAACTTCCTCAAGGAAATGACCTTCCCTGAAAAGTTGAAGTAACAATGGAAGGATTAACTATTTTTGGCTATTTGCAAACATATAGCTTGGTGCTGTGGATCGGAATGAAACATGCTGTTGTGTTATTTACAGGTAACAATGTTATATTAAAAAGGATACAGTGCTGTTTTAATTACCTGTAAAAATACACTTTATAGAATTAATTTCCTTTTTAATATGGCAGTCAGAGTGAATGGAATGAATTACACTGGATATGGCCTTTCCAGTTTTCAGTGACAGTTGAGAAAAAATGTTGATATATTGAGAACATGCAAGCTATTGAAGTAATGAAAGCTATTGACATAAAGCACAAGAAAACTAAGGCAACTTTCACAAGATCACACATAAATCAAATAGTTTTCCCATGACAAGTTACAGAGCAAGACATTAGTGGCTATCAGCACTCATGATTATTAAACTGTAAATTGGACAACAACTTCCGGTGACTGTAAGAAACGCATTGCAATAATCATCATACATTATACAAATTAGGAGCAGGAGTGGGCCATAGCCCCTTGAACCTGCCCTACCATTCAATAAGATCATTTCTGATCTGATTATTCACTCTTGCCTATTCCAGATTACATTTCACCTCCTTGCTTATTAAGAATCTCGCTACTTCTGCCTTAAAAATATCCAGACTTTACTTCTACAGGCCTTTGAGGAAGAGAGCTCCTAAGAGTTAGATGAGGAAAGTGAATGTACTATAGCCAAGTTTGCAGATGATACAAAAATAGATGGGAAGGCAAGTGTGAGGATGACACCAAGAGTCTGCACAGGGATACAAGCCGGTTAAGTGACTATACAAAAACTTGGCAGATGGAATATAATGTGGGAAAACGTGAGGTTAGGCACTTTGGCAGTATGAATAGAGGAGCTGAATATATTTAAGTGGAGAAAGACTGCATAAAGCTACAGAATAGAGGGCCTTGTTAAGTCCTCATCTATGAAACTAGCATCCAAGTTCAGTAGGTAATAGGGAAGGCAAATAGAATGGAACATAAAAGGGATGTTTTGCTAAAAACATACAAGGTCCTAGACAGACCACAGCTGGAATATAATGACTAGCTTTGGGCCCCTTATCTAAGAAAAGATTTATTGACACTGGAGGCAGTGCAGAGAAGGTTCACTAGTTTGATACCAGGAACGGAAGGTCTGAATTATGAGGAGAGGTTGAGTGAATTGGGCCTGTTCTCTTTGAAATATAGAAGAATGGAAGGAGACCATATTGAAACATGCAAGATTTTTGGGGAACTTGACTGGGTAGATGCGGAAAGGTTGCTTTCCTCATGCAAGAGCCTGTGTCCAGGGTGCATAATCTCAGAATAAGGGGTCGCACACGTAAGACAAAAACGAGGAGGAGTTTCTTCTTTCTGAGGGTAGTGTATTGGCACACTACTTTGCTGCTGTTAACGTTGGGTCATTAAGTAAGGACAAGACTGACAACCACAGATTTTCAAGCAGTAATGGAATCAGTGGTTATGGCGAAACTGTAGGAAAATAGGTTAAAGATTATTAGATCAGTCATAATCTTGTTGAATAGCGGAGCAGACTCCAAGGGCAGAATGGCCTACTTCTGCTCCTACATCCGATGGTCAAAGTCTCAATTCTCCATGAATAAAAAAAACTCATGTCCGTCTTAAATAGGTGACCCCTTACTTTTAAAGAGAGACCCCTAGTGGAAGCATCCTATCCATATTTACCTGATCAAAATCCCTCAGGTTATTATATGTTTCAATCAAATCACCTCTAACTCTTGTAAATTCCACTGATAGAAGCTGAAACTCATAGGCTAACCCACCCATTCCAGGTATTAGTCTAGTAAAGTAAAGAAATAAAGTTGCCATAGTCCCAGAGGACCATAGGGCTGCTGTCTCATTAAAGATAGATGACAGCTGGTGGTTCAACGTGAAGGTCACCATGCCTGAAGTGACAGAAGAGATTGAGAACAAGAGCCCTTCATAGTAACCTCAGCTGGCACAGAAACTCATGCTATTGGTGTTATTCTGCATCGCAAACTAGCCATTCAGCCAACCAAGCTAACCATGTATACCTGAAGCATAACATCAATACCTTTGTATTCAATGCCCTCACAATAAATGATAATATTCTATTAGCTTTTCTAATTACTCAATGTATCTGCATGCTAATGTTTTGCAATTCATGCACTAGGACACCCAGATACATCTGCATCTTAGAACTTGGCAATCTCTCACCATTTAAATAATGTGCTTTTTGTTATTTCTGCCAAAATGGATAAATTCACATTTTCTCTATTATACTTTATTTGTCAAATCTTTGCCCACTCATCAAACCTAGCTATATCTTTGTAGCCTCCTTTCATATCTTCCTAACTTACTTTCCTACCTACCTTTGCATCATCAGCAATATTGACAACCATACCTTCTGTCCCTTTATTCAAACTATTTATATACGTTGTAAAATGTTGAGGTTCTAGCACTGATCCCTGTGGCACATCACTCACTACATCTTGCCAACCAGAATCTAGTTATGGCTACTGTCTGTTTTCTGTTAATGAGCCAATCTTTTTTCCATGCCAATATGTTAAAACCTATGTGTTAAATTTGTATTTTCAAAAATATGTGGTGCCTTGTCACATATTTTATGGAAATCTAAGTACAGTAATCCCTCCAGTTCCCTTTATTCACAGCACATGTTACTTCCTCTAAGAATTACAGTAAATAGGTTCAGTATGGTAAAAACCATGTTAAATCTGCCTAATCACTTTGAACTTCTGTAAGTATTTTATTTTGTTTGATATGGACCTTGCCTTTTAGAAAGTTCAAAGACACCATGTACTGTGTACAATGTCATGACTCTGCTGAGCAGCTAGTCTGCTTTCAGCTTTCAAGTATCTCACTCATGAATCAGTTGGTTTGCCTTAATGTCTGCTTAAATACTTGTAATGTGTTTTACTGTTGTAAATAAACTAACCTCTAAATTTCTGATGAGCAATTAATTATGAGATTATTATCATTGACTTGACGACTATGATGTCTTTATTAATATCATTTAACATCTTCCCTATAGGTAGACGTTAAACTAACTGGCCTAGAGTTTCCTGTTTTGTCACCTTCCCTTTTTGAATAAAAAGCTATTTTTGCTTTTACCTAATCTAATAGAACTACAATGAATCTAAGGAATTTTGGAAAATTAAAACTAGTCCTCATCCTTATAAGTGCAGGATTAATTTGATTGTGTGAATCTTTTTAGCAATGTGAAAATTAAACACAGCACATTAACTATTTCACTAAGCACTTTCTTAAGACCCTAGGATGAAGCCCATCAGGACTCAGTGACATATGAGCTTACCGCTCCAATAATTTGCTCAATAGTATTTGCCTGATGACTAGTTTTCTTACATTCCTCCTATTACCTGATTTCTAGTTATATCTGGGAGGTTATTTGTATCCTCTATAGTGAATACCTATTCAATTCCTCTGCTATCTTCTTATTTTCCATTATTAAGTCCCAAGACTCACTTCCTGGGGGACCAACACTCTTATTGCTAATATTCATAAACTCTTGCTACCTGTTCTTACACTTTTAGCTAGCTTTCTCTAATATTCTAATTTCCGCTTCTTATTAATCCTGTAGTAATTCTTTGCTGTTTTAATAATCTATTCAGCCTTCTGACCTGCAACTCATCTTTTCACA